CCCCTCGGGCCGCCGCCGCCTGCCTACGCCTGCGGGCCCGGCTTCGGGGACAAGTTCCCGCTGGACGAGACGGACCCGCGCAACAGCAGCATCGCGGCACTGCGCCTGAAGGCCAAGGAGCACATCCAGGCCATCGGGAAGCCGTGGCAGGGCCTCTAGGGCAGCGGGCGCCAACTCGGGCCAGGAGACCGTCGGGGCTGCTCTCAGCATCCTCCCTCTAGGTCCCCTCACTCGGCCCCTTGTTCCCGGGCCGCCTGATTGGGGTGTGGACCCCCTCCTGCTCAGGACGCTCGAGGCTGGCCGAGGCCCCCTGGCCACCCCACCCCCTCGCAGACCCCAGTTGCTGTAAAGGGAGAGGCAGCCCACTCCTCCCACCCCTGAGCGCGCTGGAGCCGCCAGGTTCAAGGGGTCCAAAGCACCATACCTTGACTGGGGTCAGGGAGCCCAGAAAAAGAAACTTCGGGGAGCAGGGGTGAGGGTGGGGGGCCAGGAATAGAGTTTGAGGGACTGTTGTATAAGTAGTTTCAAAGTATTTGGAAGGAGAATTAAAGATGTACTCTTTTGATTGACTCTAGTTGAGCAACTTGGGACTGGGGTTTGGGAGAAGGAAGGTGGTGGGAAGGGGGTACCTGAGCACCTCCAGTGATAGGCCATCTAGTAAGAAAGCAGATGGGTGTGGAAGAGCTGGGGCCACCTCCCTCTTCCTGGACCTCCTGGAATCACTTTCCCAAAGCAAAGCGTTGTCCCATTTCCGGACTGAGGCTCCGGGGATCAGGCGCCCTCTGACGCTGGCCAGTGGGAGTTGTTCAAAGCCTGAAGCTTCAGCTTCCTGCGCATTCCAGGGCCTCAGCACCGCAGCAGTTGCACAGTGGCTGCTACTTTGCAGGATTGATCCCTACGGGAAGTGTCCAGGCCACCTTCCTCAGACTGAGAGCTGGGCACCCCACAGGCCCTGGCCTCCTCTCTCTTTCCAGCGTCTCTGGCCTCAGGTCTTCTCACACCACTGTCCAGGTTACCAGATCAGTGCCAACCTCTGCTACCCAGGGTTGATGATGTTAACTCTTTTCCTTTTCTTAGCCTTGGGTCCTCTTTTATTCCCCAACCAGTGGCACCCCTTAAGGCACCCTGGGTTAGCCGCTGGGCTCAGGGAAACTGTCCTAGCTTACTCTGCACAGATGCCTGAAGGGCCCATCCTCACAGGTACATCTGAGAGCTCCTACAGCTGTGAATGATCCTGGAAGGTGGGCCACCCCCAGAATAGCCTGAATCCCCCTGCACAGGTCCTCTGGCCCCCTAGCTAAGCTTGCATCTAGGACGATACAGCCAGAGCCTTAGCATCAGCCAAATACTTGCTGTTGGTCCTTGGCACCCTAGGGGACCATCTGGCCCCCTTTACTCATCTAAACAAACCATATCTTCAGGGCAATGGGAAAGATAGAATAAGGTCACCTGTGTGGGTTTTGTGTAAATGTCAAGGATCCAGCAGGAGACAAAACACACTGGGATCTGCAATGTCCCTGAGTTGCACCAGGTTAAAGAAAGCTACTTGGGGGAAAGGATGACTATCATGGGCTAGGGGGAAAGGCGATGTCTCCCTGGGATCCAGGCTCTGCCCTGCAAGATTCTGAGAAGCTGTAGCAGAGCCAGGGCTGTGAACCCCTCGACCCTCATCTGCAGGCTTGTGAATGATAGGCTGGCAGTAAGAATTTATTTGCATCACTTACTTTTTCCAAGAGATGAGAGTAATACCTGCGCTTTCTCTCCCAAGGGTGTTCCTGGGGAAATGGGTGGCATACACGTGGTATCAAATTTGGCAAGAAAAACAGGTGAACTCAGGATGGACGTTTTAGTACATTTCTTTCATTTGGCCAATCTTCTCTTTCTGTAAGCCCTCATCCTACCAGGACTGATGTCAGCGAGTCCCCTTTCGCAGTGGCGGGTGAGTACCACGTTTTGCTGCTCGCCTTACTTCTGCAGAGCTGGGTCCCTGCCCTCCAAAACTGTTAGCACCTTTGCTTCCCTTCGGTCATTTCCACCATTATTCATTTTGTCTGCTCTTTGCCATTTCTGATCCTCTTTTCTTTCCATCCCAAGTTTTCTACTACATCCCCTCCTCTTTTACCACTTAGTTTTGTCTGCGATTTGATATATTCTCAGCCATCTCTCTAGGCACCAACAGAGCCAGCCCAGCCTGGATTTCAGGGACAAACCTTTACAAGATAATCATCAAAATACTAGCAGCTAATGATAGGAAAGCATACCATGTGCTAACCCTGTTCGAAACGGTTTACATCTATTTATCCTTAAAGTCGCACAAGGACCGTATGAGAAAGATGGTTTTAAATAAGGAGACAGGCAGAGAGGTTGCACCAGTTAACCAAGAGCTGGCATCGCCAGGGGATCGTTCAGCTCAAGGTAGCAGTGCAATTTCAGGAAACATTTGCTGATTAAGTGAGTGCTGCTGATTTCGGCTCCTAAGAGCAGCTCCGAAGCCGTGCTGGGAACGGAGATGCTTGGGGTTGCTGGCTCAGAGTACTTTCCTGGGCCTCCTGGGGAAGGTCTGGCGGGTCCCCCACTCCCCTCCTCCCTCCTAGGCGCTGCCTAACCTAGCAGGGCAGCTTTAAGATTCGCGCTGCAGGAGGAGGGGTGCTGGAAGCCAGGACTGAGAACTCATGATGAAGAACATTAAAGCCGCTGAGGACCCCGAAATGCCGATGCCTCCGCCCAGTCGCGCTCCGGGAGTCCTCACAGAGGCGCCGTCCAGGCGGAGCGCGGCTTCCGAAACGAGACTGCTGTCTCCTGCTTAGGGGAGGGCACGATCTTTCAGGGACTCCGCGGGAAAGGCCTCCCCAGAAAGCCTGCATCACTTGGGAGCTGGTTCTTGAATTTTCTATACTGGGGACAGGGTTTGGCTCCCAGGGGCCACCAAGGACCGCCATGCGTGCACGGCGGCCGGAAAGAGGCAGGCCCTGCTCTGGTCGCCTTGGGTCCCGGGAGACCCGGGAGCCCTTGAGGAACCCTTCCCCGAAAGGCAAATTCTGTTCCGCCAGCCGGCAGAACCCAGCTAGCGAGAACCGCTACTTTTCCGCCGCCGGGATCCGCGAGGGTGGGGTGGAGGCGGGGCTCTGCGCCGCGGGGGCGGGGCGAGGGAGGACGGCGCGGATTGGGCCTCTCCGAGAGAGGGGCGGGGCCCGGCGGGCGACCGCGCGGCGGACGCGCCCCGGTGCACCTGATCTGCCCCGCCCGGGCGGAGCCGGCCTCCTCCGCCGCTGTGGGGGTCTTTTCCCTTTTTTGGAGGAGTCTTTCTGTGCACGAGGGTGGCGAGGCCGTGTGCACCCCGCGGCTCCCGACTTTCAGCTGCGACGTTTTGCTCCCCGGGATCACGGAGGACTGACTTCTGCTTCTCCCTGGAGAAGCTCTCAAACCGGGGTCCTGAGACTGCCGCCCCACGCGGGAACCTCCTCCTTCGGCGTCCCCTCCCCCACCCCACCTCACTCTCCCAGACACCTCCCGCTCACCCCAGCTCCGACCCCAGGCGGATCGAGGCTGTTCACCCCTGGGAACCCTGGGTTCACCAAGCCCCCATCTCTGATGCCCTGAGAGGGCTGCAGGGGCGGGAGTGATCCCCTCAAAGGGGCAGGCTTTAGACATATTTAGAACTGAACTGGAGCGACTCTGCTGTACTTCATTATTATTATTTTTTAAAGATTTATTTATTTGTGCATACAGAACTGGGG